TTCAGCTCTAGCCCAGCCTGCTGACCCTTAATGCCATTCAAGCCAGTGGGCTATGACCTGCTGTCCCTCTGCAGTAGCAAGCATTGGGAGGCCTGGACCCCAGGACCAGGCCTTGAACATCATGAACCCAGGGCACAACCCCAGCATAGTGGGTATGAACCACAGTACAGAGAGATGCCACAGAGCAACAGCAGCAGCAGCAACAGCAGCAACATTGCAAGAGGCATGTCCGACTGTCAGTTGTGATGGGGCTTTGCCTTCCCTTGATCGCCAGGTCGCCTCTTATCCTGAGGCCTCACAGAATGTGAGAGGGGGCAGGCCGGGTTGAGCCACCCCCCTCCAGTGCATGAATTTTCTAGAACGGAATAAAGAACAAGAATGAAAAATATAAAAAATATCAGATCAGTGGGGGCCACATAGGTAACCTTTCAATGAGAAGGCCCAGAGCTGGCTTGGTGTTTGGGGATTGGCAGACTGTGCTTCTGGTTAAGCAGAGCATTTACAGGGGCATGAAAGTTATCTAAGCTTTGGTTTGCTAATGTGGCAACCTGGCAGGAGCAGCTCTGTTTTGGGCCTAGAAAATTATTTCAATAAAATTAAAAGTGAAATTAGAACAGAGGCCCACAATATGGGTGAAACCCAGGCAAAGGCCAGAATGAACCTTCTGCAACTCTGGCAGGTGCCAGCTTTGCTCAGGAGGTTCCCATAATGGCCCTGGTGCTAGCGTAGAAGTGAATGGTTTGTTGACAATGGGCCATCAGATGGAAGAGATGTGCCATCACCATTTGCTCCATCCTGCTCACACTTTTTATTCAACATTCATTTATTCACCAAATATTTATTCAATACCTATATGTGCCAAGCTGGAACCCTGAGGTAACAAATGAAAATATAGACATCCCCTTGGAGGTCCCAGTTAGGCCAAAGACCTTTATCTCCAATTAGAGAACTCAAGAACTCTTAGAATGAAGCTGACATTCAGTTCCAGAAGGACACTATTTCTGTTGGGGACCATAGCATGCAAGAAAGATTGGAAGGACAAAAACCCTCCAGAGAGTGTGAGAGTGATTTTTTTCCCCTGCAGTGCCCTCAGTTAACAATCACCCCTTCTTCCTCTCCTAGCCCTCCTGACCATCCTGCTCACACCGCCCCTAGCCTTTGCCTGGCCCACTAAATCACTATCTGCCCCTGACTATCTGCCCTACCTGGATTTCTCTTCCAGGAGCCTACATCCTTGGCATGTCCTCAAAGTTTGCATCTTCATTAAAAGCCATGAGCATAGAAATTTTATTTAATATTCCAGAATCATATCAGAATGTTGATTTTTCACTTTTATATTCCACATTGAAGTCAACAGTTTTATCTTAAATCCTTTCTTTAAAATTTTAAAAAATAGGAAGGTAATTCACAACCTAGGTCAATTCTATTCCTTGTGCAATTATAATCATAGCCCATATAAGATCTTATAGCATGATACCCACAAACACAAGAATAGTGAAACTAACAAATTGCATGGTGCTCACGAATCAACAATATTTCTTTTACAGAAGTGTCAGAAGGATGTATTCCATGTAATAATGTTATTTCAAGTTGTAGAGAAAGTCTCTGAGCCTGGCGTCATTTATCATAAACAGGATTCTTAATTTCAGACCAAACCCATGCACTGGCACCTGCTAACTAGCCAAGCAGTGTTTTCAATAGAGTGTTACTTTTATTCCAGTTTTGCTTTTTGACCCATGTCCATTTAAATGGTGTTTTAATTAGATGCTGTTTTATAAAATATTTATTTGCTACTTGCTTAGACAATGTTCTTTGAAACCCAGTGCAGAAAGTGACAGTTTTGAGGGGCTGAGGAGTGAGGCCTGACACAGTCTTTCTTTAATTTATTAGTATTGATGATTTTATGGTGGGGTTTATGTGCAGAGAAAATAAAAGGAGAAAATCATGCATAACAAACTATTACCTGTTGAATTATTTTTTTTCTTTTCAATTTAACATTAGATATCATAGCTCCAACAAAATAGATTTATTTCTCTTCCTACTTAAAAGCACTCTGTCCTCATTGATGTTTAGTGCTTACACAAACACAAGGGATGTGTTTTGTTTGCATCCATGGAAGCTGCCTTAAAGAGTCCTGGAGGACAATTCATTTATTTAGTTACCTTTGGTCAAAATGGTTCCTGGGCACTTTAGAGGAATATTGATCACTCAGCTCACTAAACTGTCTGCAGAAAGGCAGATGAAACCATGCATGCCTTTCATAAAACTCCTTTCAATTAAAGCTGCAGAGTTTTATTTATACCTAACAGTGCTGCCTTTTATGGCTGTTTGTTTTTTTTTGTGGTTTTTTTTTTTTCTTTCTTTTTTCTTTTTTCTTTTTTTTTTTTTTCTGCAGAGTTGATTTTTCACTCCATCATATCTTTAACTAGTGTAGGTCACGGTGATTGTGGCCAAATGCATGAGGAAATATAGGACTCCCATGGGATTCAGCTTCAGTTCAACCATTAGAGCTGTTCCCAAACACAGCAGGCCCTGAGTTAGCACCCTTTCAATATGGCATTGGTGAGATGCTGAGAGAACTTAACTCTTGTTTCCATCAATTGGCCTGTAGTAAAATTTGTTTTATTATACATCATTTTCCTTATGGTTGCTGAACCTATCACAGCTTAAGTGAGGTCTTAACTGTATTTCAGTTCTCGCTCCTCCCAGACTCCAGGATTGTACTTACCTGTAACTGAAGGCTGGGTGGTCCCAAGACTTGCTGTGACAGGGAGATGGAAGTGGAAGTTATGTGTGTCACTTCAGACACAGGTTTAAGAGCCAAGGGTGCATTATTGCATTCTCTTTTCCTGTTTGTTTTTCCCATTGCCTTCATGACCTGCCACAGTCTAGAAAGTGGCTTTCCCTTCAGTCTGGTGCCCAGACAGAGAACCATAGAGAAGTGGAGCAGCTGAAATTGGTTTAGACAGAGCGTTGGCCTAGGGACTGAAAGGTCCCAGGTTTTATTCTGGTCAAGGGCATGTACATGGATTGTGGGCACATCCCCGGTAGGGGGTGTGTAGGAGGCAGCTGGTCGATGTCTCTCTCATCAGTATTTCTAGCTCTCTATCTCTCTCCCTTCCTCTCTGTAAAAAGTCAATTAATTATATATATATATATAGAGAAAAGCTCCTACTGATGATTGATTAGCTGTTTTAAATTACCAAGACTGGAGTGCTATTTGTTATAAGAGCATAACCTACACTCTTCTATTACATCTTTTTTTTTTAAGGTTCAATAGAAACTATCTTATAAGTGCCAATTAAAAGGGGATTGAATTTAGGAGTCACAATAACCAAATGAGTGCATCATCTCTTATCTAAATGGAGCAAATTAATTAAAGTTTTGTATTTATACAATTATTGACCAAGTTCCTTCTCCCTCTCTGTAGTAACTTCATTATCAAACAGAAGGAGAAATCATGGGGATTTTTGGTCCACAAACTGCCATTGTTACTTTCACTTTGAGGTTTGTTTTTGTTAGTCTTATGTTCATTGCAGTAATATTTACAACAATCAAGATTTGGAAACAGCCTGAGATAGTCATCAGTAGATGAGTGGATAAAAATCTGTGGTACATTTACACAATGGAATACTACTCAGCTGTAAAAAAAAATAAATTAATTAATAAAATAAAATAAAGAAGGAAATCTTACCATAGGGGACAACATGCATGGACCTAGAAAGCATTATGCTAAGTGAAGTAAGCCATTCAGAGAAAGACAAGGACCATAGGGTTTCACATATGTGTGGAATTAAATGTCAATTTTATTACTATGAAATATGTTCCTCTGAGTAAGTCACTTCATTTTCTAGGCCTCAGTTTCCTTATATGAAGAAGGACAAAATTCAAGTAGTAAGAAATGAAAGCAATAACATTCTGTGCTAAGTCTAGATCTTGTGAGAGACAAGCCTGAAGAAAGAAAGAAAAAAAGGAAGGAAGGAAGGAAGGAAGGAAGGAAGGAAGGAAGGAAGGAAGGAAGGAAGGAAGGAAGGAAGGAAGGAAGGAAAGAAGAGAGAGAGAGAAAGAAAGAAAAAAAGGGGTGTTTCAAAGAGATTAAAATATTTGAAATGTGAGGGCTTTGTTATTTCTTTGTTTTTATTTTTGTTGTTTCTTTAGTGAGTGCTCCATTGAAGTATAATCTATTGAAATTCATATGGAAAGATGCACAAATCCTAAGAGAACAGCTGAGGGGATTTTCTTTCACAAAGTGAACACACTTGTAATCATCACCCAGAAACCCTCCCTGCCACCACCCCCTAGCAGGGGGTTACCACTATTCTGACTTCTATTAGGCTGACTTCTAACTGCAGTGATTAATTTGGCTGCTTTTTAACTTCACTGAAGAGTACCTGATATAGTCTTTTGAGCCATTCCTCTTTCATTTAACAGTAGATTTATCCTTGTCTTGGCATAAAGAGGCAGTTTGCTCTGTAGTCACCACAACCCAGCCACTTGGAAAGTTTCCAAGTTTGAGCTGTTTTAAACAGTGGATATTTTAATGCTTCTCTTTTGGTTGATATTATTTCAGGCTTAAGTTTCAGGAGGTAGACATCCTTAAACCTAAATAGGAGAACCTAGCTCTGTGGCAAAAGATTGAATCTTGGAGCATCTCCCTAGTGATGAAAGAGAACAAGCAGTACTGTAATCCCAGGTAGAGAGAGGGAGTTACAAGGAAGAGAGGGAGGGAGTTAGAGGAGTGAGTGCTGCTGAGCACTACCCCCCTCCCCCAATCAGGAATTCCATTGCCCCTTTAGTTTAGTCCTTGAGCCTCAGGCAATGACATTGGATGTAATTCTCTGAGAAGCGTTTTCTGGAGCAGCATTGTTGTGTCAGAGTAGGAAGTAAGCAAAAAATGGTAGAAGGAAAATATTTTTTTAGACTTGCTATTCAAATTTGAAGGAATCTTTATACAAAAATAAGTCAAATACTAAATCAAAATGCATTATAATTCATAAAGGAGAAGAAGACTGTGAGCAATGGACAATTCACCTAATTCTGTTGTTGATATTGAAGCTCACAGCGCTCCTCCCACCAAATCTAACGGGTGTGTAATCATATTAAAGATTGTAACTGATCCTTAAGCATAACTTTTTCTTACCATGAAATTATAAAAGAACAAATAAGAGACAGAATGCCCATAAGCTTGTCAGTTCAAATGTTACACTTGTTCTCATTCCTGAAGTCTGAGGCACTTTTTGGCCTCCCAGAATGTTTAGAGCTTCCTGATGTTAATCCTTCCCACCTACCTGAATTTCCAGCTTCTCTCTTTCATCATGTTTTTCTTTATGCATGCTGTGATTTGATCATCCACTACTTACTGGCCAAAAGAAAGCAGATCTTTAATTCAATTAAAGTAATTTATTGAAAATAATAATAATAACAATAATAATAATAATAAAAGTAACTTATTGAATACTTTATGTGCATTCTCTCTAATCTGCCCAGCAGTTTTGAATGTTATTATTCCTGTTTTGCATATGAGAAAACTAAGGCTTGGTGAGGTTAAGATATGAGGCTTAAAAGATCCAAGATCACTATTTAGACAGAAGCATTCTCTTGCCTCCCATCTTTCTACCTGAGGGTGTCTGTTTGAGGCTTACACTTTCAACCCAAAGCTGTAAAAGCAGCGATCAGACTGTCAAACCTCAGAGGGAAGGTAGGGGAGGGTGGGGGCAAGGGGGAGAGATCAACCAAAGGACTTGTGTGCATGCATATGAGCCTAATCAGTGGTCATGGACAATGGGAGGAGGGGATAGGGGGAGGGGCAGCGCATAAGTGGGGAGGGGTTTGGAATGGGAATGAGGATATGAGGACAATTATGTGACACCATAATCAATAAATAAAATTTAAAAATAAATAAATGAAATAAAATTAATACAAAAAAAACAAAAGTTGAACAAATGGTGCCTGGTATCCTGAGAGCTCCAGTGCACATTGGAAGGCTATTTTGTCCCCCAGGGAACATTTGACCATCTATGTCTGGAGACAGCTGTAGGGAGGAAGATACTACTGAGATCTAGGAATGGAAGCCAGAGATACTGCTAAAGATATTCTAACACACAGGACAACCCCACAACAAAGAATTATCTAGCCTAAAATGTGCGTGGTACTGAGGTTGAGAAACCTGACTTACAGAGTGTTTGCACATCATAATGGTGTTTATTAAGCTTAGAAGAATGATTGATTGCATTTGAAGGAGTCAATGAGAGATGATTGAAATATAATACCTTTCAAATTAAAATACTCTTCCTCTTGAAAACCCCACTTCTCAGTATCTATTGCAGAGAAGTAAAATCACCCATACACAAACGTGCATATGTATAGGGATATTATAGTAGCATTATTCTTTGTGGCAACAGTTTAGTAGCAAAGTGAATGTCTTTTAATTCCCAGTGAATGTGTGAGACAGAGTTACTACATTTATGTCATTGAATAGGCAGTCAATAAAGAGAACAGAGATAGAACCAAATCAGTTGTGACTCTCTGAAAGACTGAGAGGGTCATGCCAAGGCACCTCAAATAGCTCTCTTCCTATTAAACACAGATCTTAATTTGTACTGTCTCCCAACTAAAGAGGGTGGTGGGATCACCACTGGTTGTTCCTCATTATTTTATTTTATTTATTTATTTATTTATTTATTTATTTATTTATTTATTTTTAATAAATCTTTATTGCTCATATTATTACAATTGTTTCTTCTCTCTTCCCCCCCCCATATCCCTTTTCCATCCAATTCCCACCGCACCCTCTGCCCTTACCCCGCCCCCATTGTCCTCATCCATAGGTGTACAATTTTAGTCCAGTCTCTTCCTGCACCCCCACACGCTTTTCCCCCTGATAATTATCAATCCACTCCCTTTATTTGCCCCTGATTCTACTATATTCACCAGTTTATTCTGTTCCTCAGATTTTTAATTCACTTGATTTTTAGATTCACTTGTTGATATATATGTATTTCTTGATCAAAATTTTTATTTTTTCCTTTTTCTTCTTCTTCCTCTTCTTAAAGAATAGCTTTCAACATTTCATATAATTCTGATTTGGAGGTGATGAACTCCACTCCCATTCTATGCCCCTGATACTATTCAGTTTATTCTGTTCCTCAGATTTTTAATTCATTTGACTTTTAGATTACTTGTTGATATATATGTATTTGTTGATCATAATTTTTATCTTTTTTCTTCTTCTTCCTCTTCTTAAATATTATCTTTCAGCATTTCATATAATACTGGTTTGGTGGTGATGAACTCTTTTAGCCTTTTCTTATCTGTGAAGCTCTTTATCTGACCTTCAATTCTGAATGATAACTTTGCTGGGTAGAGTAATCTTGGTTGTAGGTTACCACTCCCATCTGGCCTGCATAGTTTCTATTGAGAAATCAGCTGATAATCCTATGGGTGCTCCCTTGTAGGTAACTAACTGTTTTTCTCTTGCTGCTTGTAAGATTCTCTCTTTGTCTTTTGCTCTTGGCATTTTAATTATGATGTGTCTTGGTGTGATCCTCTTTGGATTCCTTTTGTTTGGGATTCTCTGTGCTTCCTGGACTTGTAAGTTTATTTCTTTCACCAGCTGGGGGAAGTTTTCAGTCATTATTTCTTCAAATAGGTTTTCAGTATCTTGTTCTCTCTCTTCTTCTGGCACCCCCATAATTCTGATGTTGGTACACTTGAAGTTGTCCCAGATGCTCTTTACACTATCTTCAACTTTCTGGATTCTCTTCTCCTTTTGCTTCTCCAGATAAGTCTCCTTTGCCTCTTTGTATTTCAAATCTTTGACTTGATTCTTGGGGTCCACTAGTCTGCTATTGTGTCTCTGTATAATATTTTTTATTTCAGTCAGTGTATATTTAATTTCTAGTTGGTCTTTTTTCATATCCTCGAGAGTCTTGTTATATTTATCAGCCTTTTCTAGGAAATTCTTGAAAAACCTTATAACCATGGTTTTAAACTCTATATCCAGTGTTTATTCTCCATTTCTTTTGTTTGAGATCTCTTTCCTTGTCTTGCATTTTCACTGCTTCCCTGAGTTGGTAGGGTGGCTTTGTGTGCTTGGTGTCCTATATGGTCCAGTGGGTCAGGCTCCCCAGTTACCTGAGGCAGACAATCTTGGTAATCTCCTTTGTGTACTGTGTGTACAACCTTATTGTAGTTAAGTCCTGATTGTTGTTGGTATCACTGGGAGGAATTGACTCAAGGCCTATTGGATATGAGTATCAGCTGTGTCTATACCAGAATACCTTCTGGAGACAGTCTTATAGGATCAGACTTGCAAAATTGCAAAAGCCTCTGAGCTCAGCTTAGATGGGGCCGAGTCTCAGAGCTGAGCCACCAGTCTTGGCTTCCTGTCAATCCTGCCCTTGTGCACGTGCCTCAGACCTCTGCCTTCCACGGATCCCCTGAGTTTCCACCTCACAGTCCAGATTCCCCTTGTAAGAGCGTGGGTGCCTCAGGGGCTCTCCCTGAACTTGGTTTCAGTGTTCAGTGCAGTTGGAACTGGGGATTCAGTGCAGTTAGGAGCTTCAAATTCCTTCAGCTATGGAGAGGCTTCAGCAACCTCCGTGGTCAAACCTCTCTGCGCATACTCACTCACACGCTGCAGCTCCAGGCTCCCTTGATCTCCTAGTTTTTGAGTCTCTGGGTGCCTTTCTCTACAGTCCAGACTCTACCCCTATGAGCCTGGGTCCATGGGGTTTCAGCTGGGGCTGGAGTTCAGTGCACTTGGAACTGGGGTCAATGCAGTCAGGGGCTTCCTTTCCCCTCCTGCCAGCCCGGCACTCTCTGCATGAGCATCTCCCTATCTCAGTGCTTTGCGGCTCCTGATCCTATCATGAGCCTCTCTCCTTCTTTCTAGTTGTAGATTTCCTGCCCATACAGCTTTCCTGTGGTTTTGGATGATGTCCATTCTGTCTTTTAGTTGTTATTTTGAAACTATTGTGAGAGGCGGCAATTTAGGCTCTTATCTTGGTTCTCTCCACACAAAAATTCCTACATGTTTAGCTCTTAATTGCTGTTTCACTCAGGAATGAAGCCACCATTGATCACCAACAGTGAGTTTTCCCAACTTTCTACAGAATTTTTACTCCTGGTCTGGGCCCTCCCTTCATCACTCTGTATTGCAGGCCCATTCTGCAGGAGGCATGGTCCTCACAACAAGCACCTGAAACAAACCCCTCATATGAGCAGACACTCTTCTGCCTACACTTCTCTGACTCACTAGTTAACAGCTTGGGTGTAACCATTTGGTGGTCTGTCTTAGTCTGCTCAGGCTGCTATAACAAAATACCAAATACTGGGTGGCTTAACCTACAGATATTTATTTTTTTACAGTTCTAGAGCCTGGAAGTTCGGGACTGATTCGGGTTGTTTTAGTGAGCAGGATGCAAGGGTGATTTCTTTCTCAGGTTCTTATCCAGATGGATTTGAAGACTGAAGCCACAAACAAGAGGTGGTAGGTGAAAAACTTTATTGCAAACAAATGCTACCTGTAAAACCTTACTTCTAAATTCTAAGCCTAAGACTCTGTCCCTCCTGGATGGACCGAGGGGCCTCTAAGAATGATGACTGCTGCTTTCTTTGTCTTGAGGTATTAAATAGGATGGAAACCCTCCTTCTCTGCCATGGAACCTTAGCCCTGTAATCAGCTCCCATGACCTTCATGTCCACACTTTTCCTCCATTTAGTCATCTTATCTGTTTAGGTTGGAGTCACTTTTGATTTTATCTTATAGCTTTCTCCAATTATGCTGCCTGGACAGGGCTACTTTTGATCTAACTTATAGTCACTTTAATTGCTCAAGCCATAATTGTTTCCATCTGCCTGAACCCCTCCATCCTAAGGCATTTCTCTATCCTCTGTACAAGTAAGATAAGTGCTCTGATGTCTTCAAGTTTCCTCATCTATGCATTTCTCTCCCATGAACCCTCTGTATTTCTTAAGCCTTCCTAATTAAGCTAGCTAGCTATCAGCACATTCAGTTCCTGATGAGAGGCTTCTTCCTGGCTTGCAGAAAGCAGCCTTTTCCCCATGTCCTCCTCACATGGTAGAGAGAAGCCTTAGTGTCTTTTCCTCTTCTTATCTATAATAATAAAAGTGTAATATGCTAAATTGACCAGACAGCTGAAGGACCTTCTGGACGTTTTTCCCGACAAAGCCTTGGAGGCAGGGCCCAAGCCAGAGCTGGAGAGAGGCAATCAGGCAGGCAGGTGAGTAGTTAGGGGCATCAGACAGGTATGCAGAGTGGTTAGGGGTGATAAAGCAGGCAAGTGAGTGGTTAGGGATGATCAGGCAAGCAGGCAGAGAGGTCAGGGGTGATCAGGCAAGCAGGCAGGCAAGTGGTTAGGAGCCAGTGGTCCTGAATTGCAAGGGTGTGCAGGCTGGGCTGAGAGATCCCCCACCCCCATGCATGAATTTCATGCACTGGGCCTCTAGTAAGGGTAATAGTTCCATCTTGGGGGCTTCATCCCCATGAACACATCTAAACCTAACTACCTCCCAAAGGTCTCACCTTCAAACCCCATGGAGTTAGGGCTTCAACATATGAATTTGGGGGAGATAGACATTCAGTCCATAGCATGATCTCTGAGGCATTTCAGTTCAATCATCAGGAATACAGGCCCTGAGACAGACTAAATCCTGGTTCTGCCATTTACCAGCCATGACCTTGGGAAAATTATTTAGCCTTTCTATACCCCAGTCTCATCTATAAAATGGGTTAGGAACAGTATCTATTTCATAAAGTGGTTATGAGAATAAATTAGTTAAGCTATGTAATGGCTATAGAGCAGTGCCTTGGTCATACAAAGAGCTCAGTAAATATAATTATAATTATTCCCTTCTGGATTCAGATAGTCTTAAATTAATCTCTTCTCAAAATACTACCTAACCAGCAGATTTCTTTTTATCCCAATCTTTGGTTGAAGCATCCAGTTTAAAAAGAAAACAAAGCAGTATTTATTACACAAACAATATAATAGTAATGGGAATTCATGAAGGATGTGGCTGAAGTTCCTGGGGGTGGGAAAGAGAAAGTTATTTCAGCAGTTCTCCATAGCCATCTCAGTTTGGGGATGGTAGGGAGGGTGCTGTACCCAGCACGTTCTGTACTTGCAAAGTTGCTCTTTTCCATTTTCAGAAACTATTTAGTCATTGTAATTTGTGGCTTTCTTCAAAGCTAAGTATAGACAAGGCATAATAATAAAGCAAACTAGCTCATGCTGAGTTTAAATGAATAGTGTTCTCTTATCAAATTCTTTTGCGAGTTTTAATAACTTCTTTAATTTCTCTGTTATTTTCCAATATTGTATACCTGTTCCAGAAGTACTCATTTTGTTTTTCCTAAACTGGCTTTCCTACATTGGGGAAATGACCAAATTATTCTGCTCTCTTCCTTCTGCCATTTCTCTATTCTTTGGTTTTTAGCACTCATTCAACTTAGCAGCTGTTGATCATGGTGAGAGTCTGTAATTGAGTGAGTACCAGTGATGTAGTGACTTGTCAGAAAATTTCATTCGAGGAAAACCATTTCCAGGACATGGGGAGAGAGAATGAGTAGAACATACATACTTATTGTACTTGCTTGGAAACTAACAATGTGGATTTAAAAGTGGAGTTAGCTTGGCTTATTTTATTTGACTACATGACACACTATTCCTTTTTTCTTTTTTAGGTTTAATATTAGCCTCTAACAGAAGGCAGGAAAATTCCCTATCTGGGTTGAGACACAGATATTTAAACTATAAGCTCTCAGGAAATGCAACACAATGCTCACCATGTCGCAGGAACTCAGCAAACATGAGTTAAAGTCTTCAGGCATAAAGATCCATGCTCAGAAAAGACCATGGATTGTCCAGAGGTTACCATAGGCTACTACTACAGATTATGTGTTTATATGTTTGAATCTTCCTACCTAAAAAACAATGTCTGGTACCACCCTTTCAAAGTACCAGTATAAGAAGGGTGAGCAGCTGAAGCTGAGGTTTAGAATGAAAGGGACAGAAAAGACCTGCCTCTTTGTTGGTCTGGGGTACTTTCCAAGACCAATTGACATTCTCTTTCACTCACATTCTCTCCGGGCTGATTGCCCACAGTTCCCTGAGCATCTGTGCTCTTTAGCATCTCTGTGCCTTTGCTTCCTCTTCCTGAAGCAACTCTTCCTACAAATGCACTCACTGACCCAACCCAGACCCCATTCAAACAATGCCAAGTCCTATGCCAGCTGGAATTAATCCCCACCCCCAGTGAATTCCCATGGCATTAACTTCATGCCTCTCTTGTTATACTCCAGGGTCCATGCTTCTAAAAATCATACCTGGAGAAAGGGAGTTGGGTCTAAGAAGTTATTTGGGAAGAGATCCCAGGAAGCACTTTGAGGGAGTAGGGTGAGGCCAAGAAAGAGGAAAAGCCAATAATGTTATTTCAATGAGCAGTTTAGTGTGGTAAGCAATTTTGACTCAACCTCATCAGAGACCTCCTGAGAGTCTGGGTGGCACATGCTCAAAAGTATTCTACTAAAGGGCAAACATCCTCATTAGATGTGAGTTGTTCTGCAGATGCCAATTCTCTGACACTGCCCATCTGCCTCCAATTGCTGAGCTGCTCCAAGGCTAAAGAGCAGCTCCATGTGCAGAGGTGCTGGCAGCCACAGCCCTTAGGGCAGCAGTTCTCAACCTGTGGGTCGTGACCCCTTTGGGGGTTGAACTACCCTTTCACAGGGTTTGCCTAAGATAAGGTGACCAGATATCCTGCTCTGGGCTGGACAGTCCCGATTTTCATCAAATTGTCCCAAGTCCCGCAGCATTTTAAAAACATCCCGATTTTTGGAAAGAATGCACTACAAGCTAGGGAATGGAGGGAGAACAAGAAAAGAATATACGGTTTTCGGAGGCCATCTGGCTATTTAGCCAGAATATGAGTTTTATATTATTTTTGTTAATTTTATAATGTTAAACTTTAATAATAACAAATAATTGTTGAGAACTGATTATCGAGAACTGCTTATCAAAGTTCGCATTGTTGATCAGTTGTTAGAATCCAACCACCATTGTTTGGACTTAATGAACAATGGCATTTTTGGGGATTGGCAAAGATGAAAACATTTTGTAACTGTCTCTCAGACGATACACATCGTACTGCGTGCTAGTAAGCTAGTTAAACAAGTGATGTCATTACAAATCAGCTATTCAGATAATTTAGGTAAGTAATTTATTTATTTATTTCATAAATACATAAATTTTCTTGAATTTAGCAGAATTTAGCAGTACTCGTATTATTTATATTTTATAGTGGAGGCAAAAAGTCTAGCGCTGGCTTTGAAAGTGACATGACTATACATAATTTTTATTTATTTATTATATTTGTAAATTGTACTTATGTTGAAATTTAAAAATATATATTACAATACTATTTTTGTGTTCTATGAAAATTTTGTTGCTCCATATAGACCAAATTTTTAACCAAGAACCCCAACCCCTCCCTCCCTGGTCAATGGTGTCCTGCTTTACCAATGTTAAAATGGCCACCTTAGCAAGTACCATAAACAAAGCGTAGCAGCCATTGAATCTTCATAGTTGGTGGCACTCAGAATCACCAGAACAATGAAACCTCAAACCATTGCTTAGGATTTACTGTTGCCAGTGGCCAAAGACATTGTTCAAGTTATGATCGGAGACAAATTTGTTACAAAATTGAGTGCAATTTTCTTATCTAATGACACTGTCGGCAGAAGAATAAATGACATGTCTGCTGATATTCTTGATCAGGTAATTCAGGAAATTAAATCTGCTCCACTTCCAACATTTAGTGTCCAACTTGATGAATCTACAGATGTTGCAAACTTCACAGTTACTGGTTTACATGAGGTATATTAATGATGGCGACTTTAAAGATGAGTTTATTTTTTGCAAACCTTTTGAAATGACAACTACCACATGTGATATATTGACCCAGTTGTTCGTTTCTGAAAGAGCATAAGACCTCTTGGAAAAAGGTTTGTGGTGTTTCCCCAGATGGGGCTCCAGCTATGCTAGGATGTTGATCTAGATCTCAATGTTTGGTAATGAATGAGACACCAAAAGTCATCGGAACTCACTGTATGATTCATCAACAAATATTAGCAATGAAGACATTGCCACAAGAGTTATAAGAAGTAATGAAAAATTGTTATAAGTTTTGTCAATTTTGTAAGGTGACCACTTTAAACTATCAACTGTTTTCACAACTATGCAGAGTTGGATGCACTGAACAATGCTCCGCTATTTCACACTGAAGTGAGATGGTTGTCGAGAGGAAAAGTTTTAAAACGTGTTGTTGAGCTCCATGATGAACTCAAAACATTTTTTAATTAGAAAACAAGACCTTAGTTAGAAGTACTTCCAGCGATAAAAATGAACTGCAGAAAATAGCTTATTTGGTTGACATCTTCGCCATCTTGAATGAGTTAAACTTATCACTGCAAGGACCAAATGCAACATGCCTCAATTTGTCTAAAAAGATCCGATAATTGCAAATGAAACTTCAGCTTTGGGGGGGAAAAAATTGGATGGAAATAAAATTTACATGTTGCCTACCTTATCTGCTTTCTTTGAGGAACATGACATTGAACCAGACAAAAGGATTGTGATGATAATTTCTGTGAAAGAACACTTGCACACACTTGCAGATGAAATTTCATCGTATTTTCCAAATCTATCTGACACCCCATTTGCACTTGCCAGAAGCCCATTCACAGTAAAAGTTGAAGATGTCCCTGAGACAGCACAAGAGGAGTTCATTAAATTTATTAACAGCGATGCAGTGAGAACTGATTTCTCTACAATGCCAGTAACAAAATTCTGGATTAAGTGTTTGCAGTCATATCCTGTTCTGTCTTAGACTGTGTTGTCTTATTCTTCCATTTCCAACAGCATATCTTTGTGAAACAGGGTTTCCAGATTGTTGGTTATCAAGTCTAAATACAGAAGTTGTGGAAGATGATCTTTGTTGTGCTCTTGCAAAGACTGCCCCCAGAATTTCTGATCTGGTGAGAAAGAAGCAATCTCAACCTTCCCACTGACATTGGCTTTTTATGCATACCATCGCAAAATGTAGCAATGTAGTTTACTGTTGTTATATTAAAACTATTACCCATGCTTAAAGACAAAGTTTCATTTATTTGTAATTAGAAATAAATATTTCACAATATATAATTACATATTGTTTTGTGATTAATCACTATGTATTAATTATGTTCAGTTTGTAACAATGAAAATACATCCTGCATATCAGACATTTACATTATGATTCATAACAGTAGCAAAATTACAGTTGTGAAGTAACAAGGAAAATAATTTTATGGTTGGGGGTCACCACAACATGAGGAACTGTATTAAAGGGTCATGGCATTAGTAAGATTGAGAACCAATGACCTAGGGGAACTGTCCAGAATGGGAGGAGGTGGAGGTTGAAGGAATATGACTTAACAAGGGCAGCTTGCTACAAGGATACTAAACAAATATCTATTGAAATATTGACTATGTGCCAGAGAGTAATCAGACAGGCCTTGTCCTTGACCTTGGGGAACTAACAGTCTCACAGAAAAGACAGGCAATAAACAAATAATTACAATGAGTATATTGACTGACACTTATTACCCACTGATACAAAATCTATCATTTGATTCTTATTAGATTAGATTGTTTTTTAGAATATGTTTTTATTGATTTTAGAGAGGAAGGAAAGGAGAGAGAAATATCAATCAGCTGCCTCTTGCAGGCCTCCTATAGGAGATCGAGCCTGTAATCCCAGCATATGCCCTGAATGGGAATCAAACAGACAACCCCTTGTGCATGGGACAACACTCAACCAACTGAGCCACACTAGCTGAGGCTTCATGGATTAAGTTTTTATTTTTTTAAGAAGAGGGAGTTCATTTTTTCTATAGATTATAGAGACCAAGAATAATTTTGGTGAAAAATTGTTGGTGTCATTTTATATTCAAGGTTGATGGAGTTGAATTTGAAGTAGACATAAAAGGAAATGAGAAAAAGAAATGTAAAAACACAACCTGCTGATTTCTTTTCTTTTTTTTTTTTTTTTGCCTTGAAAATTGACCCATTAAAATAGCTAAGTAGATACTCAATTCAAAAAATCAGAAGCCAAAGTGTATTTTCTTGCCTTCCCTGATAAATAATATTCAGTAAATGCTAAAAAGCAGCTCAAAAATGGAATGAAAATGCTTTAAAAGTGGGCTTGTCTGTTATGACTTCAGTTTGAGGTAAAGATGGGAGTGATAGAACCAATAGAACTATTGATGACAGTACTGAAGTTTTCTAGAACTTTACAAATATAGTGTCTTGGAGGCCTTTCAGGTTTTGGTCCACCATGTGAGGAACTTTATATCTACTGAAATGAATTGAAAACTTGCATTCACACAAAAACCTGCACAAAGATGTTTATAGCTGCTTCATTCATAGTTGCCAAAAACTGTGGTGCATCCATACAATGGAATATTCAGTGCTGAAAAGACATGAGATATCAAGTCATAAAACAACATGGAGGAAACTTAAACGCATATTACTATGTGAAAGAAGCCAATCTGAAAGGACTGTGTATGGTATAATTCTGACTATATGACATTCTGGAAAAGGCAAAACTATGAAGACAATAAAAAGAACAATAATTACCATTGGTTGTGCAGGAAGGAACAATGAACAGGCAGAACACAGAGTTTTTAGGGTAGTGATATTTTTCTGAATGATGCTATCAGAGTAGATAGATGTACATATTTGCCAAAGCCCATAGAATGTCCATCAAGAGTGAACCATAATGTAAACTAGAGATGTTGGGTGATAATTATGTGCAATGTATGTTCACTGATTGTATTGAATGTACTATCATGGTGAGGATATTAATAGTGGGGGAGGCTGTGCACAGGAGGTATATGGGAATTCTTTGTGTCTTGTCCTCAATTTTGCTGTGAACCTAAAACTTCTCTAAAAATAAATTTTATTAAGTAATGATTGGATTGTTATAAACACAAACCTTTGTTTTGCCAATTAAAAATAATTTTTAATCATGGCAAAACTAATTAACTTTAAGGTGACATAATTTGACATGATAATTCATGATGCCTTTTTACATTTACATTTAAACTAAATGTAATTCAGTAAAGTACTTATTATGGATTCTACTGCCACTCACTTTGACAAGTACTATTGAGAAATATTAATCTTAAAATACATAGTTCAGAGATGCCAGATCATATTTATTCATGAAATTATGTTCCCAGAAACAGTCTAGGACTCTTTTACACAATTGCGCATCCTTGCATTTCATTTCCATATTTGTATTCTCTGCCTCACTCTCTAAGCAAACTAAGGGCTCCACATAATTGTACATGCTATATGCAACTTTGCTTTGGATTTTAAGTTCAGAGCATATATTGGTGCGTAATTGTTTAACTATTTATATATTATCTTAACTACAGATAATAACTGTTTTAGCAGTCTTATCTATCAACAAAAGACATTTTGTCCACAGGGAGATTACGAAACTGAGTGATCATCTTGTGCCAGATTCTGTAAGAGTAAGAGAATGTAACAAATTTGCCCAGCCTCACCTTAGAGTCAAGAAATATTTCATTGATACTACTGATGTTTTCTTCTGCAACTTACCCTGAGTAACACATGCTTTTAAGTGGGATCATCAAGACTTTTGTTTTTGTTAATCTTTCTTTCTACTTACTTTGTTTTTACTAAGCATACCTTACAGATGTAGTGAAAACCTTTGGGACAGAATGTTTGTTTATTTGTTCGTTTGTTTGTTTGAAAAGCTTCTGTAGGAGGGATTTCACTCAGGAATTCTTAACCACTTTTTCCTCTGTTGTCCCCACCAGCATTCTGGGGAAACCTATGGATATAGTCCCAGAAACAGATCTGGAAAAAGAAATGCTTCTGCTATTTGAATAGAATGGAAGCCTGGGTAACACTTTGAACTTATGGTAATGAATGAATGAAAGAAGGAGCAAACAAACAAGGAAAGAAAAGTGGTAAAGGATTTTAATGAAACTCCTGAAAAGCTTCTGATGGAATGCAGGTGGCTTTGTTATAATGAATACCCTCTATGTAGTCCCAACTTATCTGTTTTGTCGTATGAGCATTCCAATAACGAAATTTCAAATATAAAATGTCCTTTTTTCATAAGGCTGGTTTAATTTGCACTTTCCTTGAAGAAAGGTTAGACCCTGACAGATGACATTGTTCCTAGTGGGTCCTTCCCCCTTGGGGGCTCTGCAGGACTCCAAGCTGAGCATCATCAAAGGCCCTGCCAGGAGCTTAAGTATATCAGAATGACCCAGACCTGGCATTTGGTGGGGCCCAGGGCATGTGGGGGCAAGACAGAAATTCACAATGAGAAAATTGCTTGTGCCCTGTGTTGGAGATCCTTTCAATTAAAGCTTTTAACCATTTTTCACAAGCAATCCCCAAGGACCAGCTCTGATGGATGGCAGGCTAACATAGCAAATGACTCACTCATCTCACTGCAAATATTCTCAAATCTCAGATATTCTTCCTTCTACAGAAAGCTCCCTGCACTCCTGACAGGGACTTAGAGCAAGAAGCATTAAGAAATGTTGATTTTACTTAAATTAAATAAATGCAAAAATGCAAACTCCAGAGGAAATTATTCCTGTTGCTTGTTTTTGTCTTTGAGTCACTAAAGATGAAGAGAACAAAGTCACAGACTGGGTGGCAACCTGGTATTGGGAGCAGAAAAGCCCTAATTAAAATCCAAGCTTGACTACTTACTGTGTGACTCTAGGCAAATCACTTAACTTCTCTGAGCCCCCTTTCCCTCATCTCTACTATGGGAGTAAAAATGTCCTTCAGTTTCATTCCTACTCAAAATAGGGACCTAGTCAGAACCTAAGGTATAATTGCTATTATTTATGAGCCCAACTATAAAAAGCCATGCATAGCCGGGACCGGTTTGGCTCAATGGATAGAGCGTCAGCTTGGGGACTGAAGGGTCCCGGGTTCGATTCCGGTCAAGGGCATGTACCTTGGTTGCGGGCATATCCCCAGTAGGGGGTGTGCAAGAGGCAGCTGATCGATGACTCTCTCTCGTCGATGTTTCTAACTCTCTATCTCTCTCTCTCCCTTTCTCTCTGTATAAAAATCAATAAAATATATTTAAATAAATAAATAAATAAATAAATAAATAAAAAGCCATGCATATAAATGATGATGTAAGTATCTATCCATTTAAACAAATACTATACATATATATGAATCAACATTTAAAACTGAAAAATTGCATACAAAAATTTTAGATTTGCTGTTTCTTGTCTCTTTTTTATGTTTTCTATTTTTTTATTTTTATTGATTTCAGAGAGGAAGGAATAGGGAAAGAGAGGTAAAAACAATGATGAGAGAGAATCATTGATCGACTGCCTCCTGCACACCCTCTACTTGGGATCGAGCACAGGCATATGCCCTTGATCGGAATTGAATCCAGAAATCTTCAATCTGCAGGCCGATGCTTTACCCAGTGAGCAAAACTGGCCAGGGCACAATTTGCTGTTCTTTTGAAAGCAAAATCGGATCTGGCAACACTGGGCTGAGTGACAACTGCCCCTACAGTGACAAATGGGCACAATCTCACCACTTCTGGACCACTTCACTTATTCTGGAACAAGCCTTTTGGCATTTGTGCCTTTTCTGTCTGCATCCCCACTTCACCTCACCCCATCCCACTCCACCCAGATCTTGAGGCAGGAACTCTTCAGAAAGGCAGAGGCAAACTCCAGTGGGTATTTACTTTCAATTAGAGACCACCTTTGACTATCAACTTGTTGGACAGTTAAACTTGAAAGAGAGGAATTCAGAGATGAGCCAATTCTCTAAATTAAAATTTATTTCTGGTCTAACCCTGTTCATTGAGGCCCTCTCCTCTGCCTTTTGCAATGGTTGCCTGTTTGAGCAAATGGTTCTGTTGAAGGTGGAAAGTGATGGGTCCCAGGGCACATGTCAGCTGTGATAGTATTTCTCTGGCCAGGCAACTCCATCCTTAGGGAGTGTGTTGATAACCTGTGAGACTTTCTGTTCTTGTCACCTGATTGGAGGGTACCACATTCAGTGGGGCCAG